TCTGTGCCAGCATCCTTCGTTTTCGGAGCAGATTTGGAGGATGTCTCGAGCGAGGCGCTCATTTTCACCCCCCAGGTGGGCCAGATGTTGAGGATGTCTCGATCGGTTTGCTTGTTTTGGTGGCCAGGCTCGTGGGCGCAGATTCTTCTCAGGATGCCACAGGAGGCTCCAACAGGCTCCAGGAGGCCCCAGGAGACCACATGAGGTCCCAGGAGGCATCAGGAGGCCACAGAAAGACTCAAGAGGCCACAGGATGTCCCAAGAGGCTCCAGGAGGCCCCAGGAAGCTCCAGAAGGCCTCAGGAAACCACAGGAGGCCCCAAGAGGCAACAGGAAGCGCCAGGAGGCCTCGGAAGGCAACAGGAGGCCCCGAGAGGCCCCAGAAGCAGGAGGCCCCAGAAGGCAACAGGAGTGGCTCCAATCCCATGTGTTTTACGTATGCTCCTATCGATTGGGCCTCACCTGGAGCACGATTCTTTGATGTTATACGTATGTTTCTATATACTGTCCTTCTCCTGTGTACACAATCCTACATGTTTTACTTATGTTCCGATATTTTGGGCCTCTCCTGGGGCACGAATCCTTGGTGTTTTACGCGTGTTCCTATAGATTGCCCTTCTCCTGTGGCTCTAATCCGCAATGTTTTATGTACGTCTGTTGCTATATATTGCGCCTCTCCTGGGGCACGAAACCTCCCCAGGAGGTCCCAGGAGGCCCCAAGAGGCTCCTGGAGACCCCAGGAAGCCCCAGCAGGTTTCAGGAGGCCCCAGGAGGACCCAGGCTCATGCACAAAGACGCGCTCGTACTACTGAGGCTCATTCACACTCCAATTCATTCGCAGTTAGATTTATGTCCAGACCGTCACAACTGAAGCCCGTGTATATTCGAACGCTCTTGCGCCTAGACATTCACGGCGGACAGGTCCATGCGAATAGATGCACATATGGGGAGCTCCACGCAGTGAATAATTGTTATTGGCAGACCGCACCGGCGGAACACAGGAACACCCTCACCTCCTCTGACTCACTCATCACTCAGACTCACTCATCACTCGGACTCAGTCATGACTCAGACTCATCACTCATCACTCAGACTCACTCATCACTCAGACTCACTCATCACTCAGACTCACTCATCACTCAGACTCACTCGTACTTGTACTCATACATTCACTACACTCACTCAGGTCCACTCATCGGATGACTCACACACACACACACTGATGTTGAGGATGTCTCAGGCGATTCGCTCGTCTCAGCACTCTAAGGGGAGCGGCGGGGGGGTATCTCACGGGGTCCCGTTTGCGGAATTTTGTGGGGATGTCTCGAGCGGTTTGCCTGTTTTCTGTCCCAACATCCTTCGCTTTCGGAGCAGATTTGGAGGACGTCTCGAGCGAGGCGCTCATTTTCACGTTCCCAAGGGGAGCGGCGGGGGGGTATGGCACTCGGCCCCTTTCGCGGGATTTTGTGGGGATGTCTCGAGCGGTTTGCCTGCCTTCTGTGCCAACATCCTTCGCTTTCGGAGCAGATTTGGCGGATGTCTCGAGCGAGGCGCTCATTTTGACGTTCCTAAGGGGAGCGGCGGGGGGGTATTGCACTCGGCCCCTTTCGCGGGATTTTGTGGGGATGTCTCGAGCGGTTTGCCTGCCTTCTGTGCCAGCATCTTTCGTTTTCGGAGCAGATTTGGAGGATGTCTCGAGCGAGGCGCTCATTTTCACCCCCCAGGTGGGCCAGATTTTGAGGATGTCTCGATCGGTTTGCTTGTTCTGGTGGCCAGGCTCGTGGGTGCAGATTCTTCTCAGGATGCCACAGGAGGCTCCAACAGGCTCCAGGAGTCCCCAGGAGACCACATGAGGTCCCAGGAGGCATCAGGAGGCCACAGAACGACTCAAGAGGCCACAGGATGTCCCAAGAGGCTCCAGGAGGCCCCAGGAAGCTCCAGAAGGCCTCAGGAAACCACAGGAGCCCCCAGGAGGCAACAGGAAGCGCCAGGAGGCCTCGGAAGGCAACAGGAGGCCCCGAGAGGCCCCAGGAGCAGGAGGCCTCAGAAGGCAACAGGAGTGGCCCCAATCCCATGTGTTTTACGTATGCTCCTATCGATTGGGCCTCACCTGGAGCACGATTCTTTGATGTTATACGTATGTTTCTATAGATTGTCCTTCTCCTGTGTACGCAATCCTATATGTTTTACGTATGTTCCGATATTTTGGGCCTCTCCTGGGGCACGAATCCTTGGTGTTTTACGCGTGTTCCTATAGATTGCCCTTCTCCTGTGGCTCTAATCCGCAATGTTTTATGTACGTCTGTTGCTATATATTGCGCCTCTCCTGGGGCACGACACCTCCCTAGGAGGTCCCAGGAGGCCCCAAGAGGCTCCTGGAGACCCCAGGAAGCCCCAGTAGGTTTCAGGAGGCCCCAGGAGGCCCCAGGCTCATGCACAAAGACGCGCTCGTACTACTGAGGCTCATTCACACTCCAATTCATTCGCAATTAGATTTATGTCCAGACCGTCACAACTGAAGCCCGTGTATATTCGAAAGCTCTTGCGCCTAGACATTCACGGCGGACAGTTCCATGCGAATAGATGCGCATATGGGGAGCTCCACGCAGTGAATAATTTTCTGTCCCAACATCCTTCGCTTTCGTAGCAGATTTGGAGGATGTCTCGAGCGAGGCGCTCATTTTCACGGAGCCGCCAAGGGTTATCTCACGGTCCCGTTCGCGGCCGTTTTGTGGGGATGTCTCAAGCGGTTTGTTTGTTTGTTTTCTGTCCCAACATCCTTCGCTTTCGGAGCAGATTTGGAGGGTGTCTCGAGCGAGGCGCTCAGTTTCACCCCCCTAAAGGGAGCCGCCAAGGGTTGTCTCACGGTCCCGTTCGCGGCCGTTTTGTGGGGATGTCTCAAGCGGTTTGCTTGTTTTCTGTCCCAGCATCATTCGCTTTCGGAGCAGATTTGGAGGATGTCTCGAGCGAGGCGCTCATTTTCACCCCTCAGGCGGGCCAGATTTTGAGGATGTCTCGATCGGTGGCCAGACTCGTGGGCACATATTCTCTTCAGGATGCCACAGGAGGCTCCAACAGGCTCCAGGAGGCCCCAGGAGACCACATGAGGTCCCAGGAGGCATCAGGAGGCCACAGAACGACTCAAGAGGCCACAGGATGTCCCAAGAGGCTCCAGGAGGCCCCAGGAAGCTCCAGAAGGCCTCAGGAAACCACAGGAGCCCCCAGGAGGCAACAGGAAGCGCCAGGAGGCCTCGGAAGGCAACAGGAGGCCCCGAGAGGCCCCAGGAGCAGGAGGCCTCAGAAGGCAACATGAGTGGCTCCAATCCCATGTGTTTTACGTATGCTCCTATCGATTGAGCCTCACCTGGAGCACGAATCTTTGATGCTATACGTATGTTTCTACTGTGTACTTATGTTCCTATAGGGTCTCTCCTGGGGCACGAGTCCTTGGTGTTTTACGCGTGTTTCTATATATTGCCCCCTTCTCCTGCGGCTCCAATCCGCAATGTTTTATGTACGTCTGTTGCTATAGATTGGGCCTCTCCTGGGGCACGAATCCTCCCTAGGAAGTCCCAAGAAGCCCCAGGAGGCGCCCAAAGGCTCGTGAAAGCCCCAGAAAGCCCCAGTAAATTTCAGGAGGCTCCAGGAGGAAACAGGCTCATGCGCAGAGACGCGTTCGTACTACTGAGGCTCATTCACACTCCAATTCATTCTCAGTTAGATTCATGACAAGACCGTCACAACTGAAGCCCGTTTATATTCGAAAGCTCTTGCGCCTAGACATTCACGGCGGACAGTTCCATGCGAATAGATGCAGCACATATGGGGAGCTCCACGCAGTGATTATATATATATATTGTTTGTTTTTTTCTATATCTTTCTACATATATATCCTCTTCCCTAAGTGTTCCTCTCATGGTTTACACAACGGCGGGGGGAACATCTGTTCCAATAGCTTGACCCAGAAGATGGTCAAAGAAAACTTTAAAGACGCGTTCAATAGAGAGGAGGGAGAAGGGAGGAGGCCAAGTAGGAAGGAAGCGGAGGAGAACAGCGCTGTGGACAAGGAGGGGATATGGAGGACCCGCGCCCACCTCAGACAGGGCACTGGGCTGGCACGGGGTACTCGAAAGCAGCCCGCTCACGTTCGAGGGCACCACTGCTTGCACCGCCAGAATACATGTCGGTCGGAAGAAAAAGGTAAGAACATGAAGTAGGAAGGTGGGTAAAGTAGGTTGGGTTCAGGCCCTCCCAAACAGTAACAACACGCAGCCGAAGCACCTCGATTCTTAAAGTAGGAAGGCGCTGAAGTAGATTGGGATCTGGGAGTCCAGAAATACCTACTTTCAACGACCGGCGTGTATGCCCACCGCCATTGTTCCAGAGCCGCGCCCTGGAACCACCCCGACGGGTGTTGGATACAGCAGGGGCCCGACCACACGAAGCCTTCCACAAGAAAGCCAGCCCTGAGACTCCAAAACGTCCCTTGATTTTTGGTCTGGGAACGTCACGCTTTCCATCGCAGAACCATCGAAACGCAAGAAACCCTGGACAGCCTGGAGGCAAGCAGGATGTTTCTTGGCATGGGTCCCGGATCCCCCGCTCTTGTTGTTTGTTTGTTTTTTTCCTGGCCTGCTCCCGCCTCTCACCTTCCACCTCCTGCCACCTGTTTCTCGAGCACGGGCCGGCAGATATCCCCAGCACTCCCCGAAGTCCCTGGGCACGACCCCGAAGCGGCGGATATGGATGCGGCAGATTTGTGTCGTTCCGACTTCGGCGTTGGTTTCTGATACCGTGGGAATTGCTCAAACTTGAACGTTCGGCAATTCACCAAACGTCCGATCGTTCAACATCGACTGATTCTGGGTCGCCGGCGGCGTTCAACCTTGAACGCCCGCGCTGGGGTCGCCGCTGGTCGACACGACGCGAACCTACCGTATATCCTGGCGGTAAAATGTTGCCTGGGATTCAGGCCCGACAGGTCAGTGACCCGCCGCCCAACTAGGCTACCCTCGCGCACAGCTCTCCGTACTCGGGGTGCTTGTCGAACACCCACCCTCTGCCGTCCGCGAGCTTCAGGAAGAGGATGTCGTCGTCGCCCGCCTTTCGGTGGGGCACAAAGGCGGGGTAGGGGCAAAGATGTGGTTAGAAGAAACATCGCTCCGAACGGCCCCTGGAAGAAGGAACCGCGCTCATCAGGAGCATTCAGCTGGGCCCGTTCCCAGGCCCCACCTTGGGATAACCCTCCCTTTACGAACCCTTGAGCCTGTATCTCCTCCACCTCGAAGCGCGTCCCGGGAAGGATCTTGTGTGCAGTATGCTCTCCTTCTTTCCTGGGATGTGTCTCAATGGTTATGGGCGCTTTCTTTGCAGGCTGGTACACCCACGTCTCCTCCAGGATCCTCTTGCACAGCACCTCCCCGTTTGTCGTCGCCCTGTCGTACACCCAGCCCTGGCCGCCCGCGAGCTTGAGGAAGATGGTGCCGCCGTCGTCGAAAGCCTTCGAGTAGGGGATCGACTACAGAATTGACTTACCACAGAATAATATTCTCGTCGGGTCTACGGAAACACTTAGAATTCTCAGTCGATTTGCGAAACTTCTACGCTTCGTCGTAGGTTCGATGGGGGAAATCAGTTCTGGGATAAATCAACTCTGTAGTCGATCCCCTACTCGAAGCCTGCATCTCGCACACCCTGAACTTCTCGCCCGGGTGAAGCCTGGACCCCGTCCTTGCCCCTGCGATGTCTGGCGCCTGGAGGATAGGCATCTGGCCGAAGGCCGGCTCGTACTTCCAGGGCTCGTCCACCTCCGTGAAGAGCTCGTAGCACATCTCGTAGCCAGGTTCGCGGTCCAACACCCACCCCCTGCCGTCCTCGAGCTTCAGGAACCGCATGCCAGAAGTTTCAACTTCGTCCTCCAGCGTCACGTCTTTCGTTCCAACGGTCGAGAAGCGTTCAAACACCATCGGCAACCGCTGCGCAACGGCCGTGAATATCTCGCCCGGTTGCATTTTATGGCCTGTTTCCGGTGCATCGAAGCTGGGCGCCTCGAGACAGATGACAGCCCTGTCATCCGACGGCTTGAAGATGAACTTCGTTGGTTCCATGGGTTCCTCCGACTTCTCATCCTCATCCTCAGTCTTTGCCGCGCCCGTCGCTTTCCGACAGCACATACAGAATATGCACAGGATAAGGAGGATGATCAGGAACAGGAGGAGTAAAAACAGAAGGATACCTCTCCACACCATGAGTGCGAATGCCATGTTATTTCCACCGTCAGCGTTAGCGCCTGAGTGTTCTCTGACGTAGTGGGAGCCTGTAGCAGACTCGGAGCTTGCTGGAACGATCACAACGGAATTTGATGGAAGGCTCTGCGTCACAGGATCTACGAGTATCACCTTGCCGTTCTCAACGCTCTTCACTACTGCATCCTCGCTGGCGGAGGGGTCGCCATCAGTGTCCAGGATGACGATGTCGTCATTCTCAGTAAAGATGGTTGCGTCCTGCACGTAGAGGTGGAGGTCCCCCTTTATCATCGCTTCCGTCAGTAGGGTCGACGTGTCTAGTTCGTTAGAGTTCAGGGAGTGAAACATCTTTGTGTCCCTTTGACCCCGCCGCCGATGACGACCGTCCGCAGTGACTGCTCCGTGGTGCCATGGAGCCATCGTCAGCACGAGGCTGGCGAGTCCGAGAGCCGCCGCGGCCGTGACGAGTCCGGCCCTGACTCGCCAGCGGCGAGGGTGGCCCACCCCGAGCAGCGCCACCGCCCCGCCCTCCTCGTCAGTGCAGAGTTCATCATCTTGGCCTGGAAGTCGCTCCATCACTCTGTGGTTGCGCATGCTCGGGCCGGCGTGTGCGGAGCTTAGCCCTGTTTCGAGCCACGGTGGCCTTGAGCCGAGAGAGGCTGGTTTCAAAGAATCCCCGAGCCCGAAACATGTCATCTCTTGGGGAGCGAACTTTTGTTTCCGCCTCCTTCCGCCAACAGAGCCGCCCTCGTTCTGCCTCTCCCGGCCTCTGCCAACCATCCGCTAGCCTTCCGACGAACAAGAGACATCAACTTCTAGATCACTCGGAGCCGCTGCCCTTTCCAGAGCGCCCCAAGTGGGTTCAAGCAATCGGCCAGGGTCGAGGAGGAATAGGAAAAACAGGAGGAAGGAAATGCGGAAAGGAAGGGATGGACGAAAGGGAGGAAGGATGAAGAAAGAGGGGAGGTAAACCAGGGGCACTTGCGCCATATCTGGCATCCGACCCCTCCCGCCCATATCTTCCCGCTCCGCTCATTTGCATCCGCTGACGGATCTGTTAGCGGACCTCAATCTCCCAAATGATCCCATCGTGTGGTGCGCAATCAGAATGGGGCGCTGCGTACATAGGAGGAGGAGGAGGAGGAGGAGGAGGAGGAGGAGGAGGAGGAGGAGGAGGAGGAGGAGGAGGAGGAGGAGGAGGAGGAGGAGGAGCAACAACAGCAGCGGGGGGTAAGAGGAGCGGGAGGAGCGGGAGGAACAACATCGCTGGCAACCGCTACCGACACCCCGCAGCGGGTGACGGCACCAACCCGCAGCATGAACGCCGATGGCAGCATCCTGACAACAACCAACGACAACGACGACACAAGCCACCCACCGCTGACAGCCGAAGACGTGACGTGGCCTACCTCGGGGAATATGAATTGGGTCACGCGACCGGCAAGGCTAACGACGACGCCAACACCATGGACGCAGGTCCCAACCCGACGCCACCTCAACAGCCGACGAGCGACACTGCCAGCCCAAGCGGAGCAGAGCAGCCATGGGAAGCGTGGCCATCCTTCGCACACGCGTGCCGGCTCGGCCAGCCGACCATCCTGGTGAATCAGGAGGCCCTCCCTGATCACCCACGACCAACGAGGCACATACCTCACGATGGGGCTGGCCGGACGGCGGCCCATCAGTGCATCACCCACCTCATGCGTCCTTTGTCGTGTTCGCTCCTGCTGACAGTGCCCAGCGGCACTCCTTGGGAACCCCTACTGCGTGCCCAGCGGCAGCAACAGCTGGCCCTGCACCGAATACCTGCTTCCGCTCCACACCTCGCTACTCCATCGCGGCGGCACGTCACATCGCCACGAGCCTCTCAGCGGACCTACGCAACCCAGCACTACGGCGAGCACATCTACAACACGCTATGCTATGCAGTGGGTCCACGGCTTCACAGCTCGACGCGGCGTTCTCCCGCACGAATGCTATTCTAATCGACGTGTCACGAGATGGCCATGAGTGGACTCACCCAAAAGTCTCTCCCTTCTGGCTCACCTCCTTGCAGCCCCCGCTCGCCCACCCCGCCCCGCTAACCTTCACTTGCCCACTCTTGTGGCGGCAGGATGGGCCGGATATCAAGGATGGGAGGGGGAAGAGCGCACGCTTCCAGCACCTATCGCTAGGGCCAGGGTGGCCGCCGCCTCTCACCCACCTCCAATAGCCACACCGGCGAGTACCAGTTTGCCGCACCCAATCCCAGCCTGTTTCAACCCACTCTGCACGCTTCCGGCACCTACGGCTAGGGCCAGGGTGACTGCCGCCTTTCACCCACCTCCCGTAGCCACACTGGTGAGTACCAGTTTGCTTCACCCTACCCCAGCCCGTTTCAACCCACCCTTTGCTTCCACTGTGGACCCTCAGCTACCCATACATGGAGTTGGGGGAGGGGATGTTGAGATGTTGGGATACGCCTGCAGCTTGGAAAGCCGCCGCCAGAGAAGGTGCAGACCTCCCCCACGCTCGGTGGAACATCCCCAGGCAGCCCCCAGTCCCACGTTCTGGGGGCCCTTCGCCTGCTTGCAGGCGAGGAACACCGTCGTGGGACTGGGGGACGCCAGTGAGGGCTTCCTGTGGGCAGGAGAAATGGCCCTTGCGCCCTCCACTTTGGCAGGCGTGGCCCCGCCGACGCACAACCAGACGCCACACTGCCGCAGCAACTGCAACCTCAACATACCTACCGTCACCTCTGCACGGCCGCCGCGCCGTGATCCCCCTCTAGCCTCGCCCCTCTGATGTTTAGATAGAAGGCCCTCTCCTTTCCCTTCTTCCTCTGTGTCTGTCTGTCTTTACCCTTGGCAGGTTACATCTTAGCCACAGCCGGTGACAAAAACACCTGGCTGTTTAGTTCGATCCCCCCCCCCCCGGGGCCGACCGGCCCTGAGGGGGGAAGGCAACGTCTGCACGACATTTTTGCCGTTCAGACTCAGGACTCAGCGGGAGGACAAGGAGGAGCAGGGGCAGGTAGGGAGGCGGCAACGAGGAGGAAGGGACTTGATCCAGAAGTATGGCCTGCTGGGGCGAGAGCGCCATTCTCGAGGAACGGAGCCAAACGTCGGTCCTGAACTGAGAAGAGCGCTGCAGCGGGAGAGCACCAGTTTTGAGAGGCAGAGACGCCCTGGCGGGAAAGCGCAGATCGAAAGCCCACTCGGGGAGGAGGAGGAGGAGGAGACGGAGGAGGAGGAGGAAGAGGAGAGGGGAGGAGGAGGAGGAGGAGGAGGAGGAGGGGGAGGGAGGGAGGGAGGGAGGGAGGAGGGAGGGAGGGAGGGAGGAAGAGGAGGAGGCAGGGGGCGGAGGAGGAGGAGGAGAAAGAGGAGGAGGGAGGGAGGGAGGAGGGCGGAGGATGAAGAGGAGGAAGAGGAAGAGGAAGAGGGGAGGGAGGGAGGGAGGGGAGGAGGAGGAGGAGGAGGAGAAGGAGGAGGAGGAGGAGGAGGAGGAGGAGAAGAAGGAGGAGGATAGGAGGAGGAGGAGGAGGAGGAGGGAGGAGGAGGAGGTGGAAGTCCGCGGCGCCACCGAGGCCTCCCCGTGCCGGGGCGTCGCGGGCGGAGCAGCCCGGCAAGCAAGCTGGGCGGCGGGTGGAGGCCCGACCACAAGAAACCGTCCACAAGAAACCCACGCCTGAGACCCCAGGACGCCCATTGCTTTTTTGGTGTGGGAACGTCACGCTCTTCATCGCAAAACCATCGAAGCCCAAGAAACCCAGGGCACCCTGGAGGCAAGCAAGGTGTTTCTTGGCATGGGTCCCCACCGTAAGGGGATCCCCCGTTCTTTTTGGTTGTTTGTTTTTTCCCTACCTAAGCTCTGTCTAAAAAGGTTCTTACTCTCTGGGCTTAAAGGGGCCGGGCAGTGGAAAGCGCCCCGGGCGGTTCCCCCAGTATCCGCCCCGCGGTTCCCCCAGTTACGTCCCCTTAGCTTACCGTTGCTTATCTCATCTTAGCTTAGCTTATTTCATCTTAGCTTAGCTTAGCTTCATCTTAGCTCAGGTTTATCTTAGCTTAGCTTACCTTCATCTTAGCTTCGCTGAGCTTTAGCATAGCTTAGCAGAGCACAGCATAACATAGCGTAACATATCATATCATAGCATAGCCCAGCATAGCACAGCGCAGCATAGCATAGCACAGCACAGCACAGCACATCATAGCACAGCGCAGCATAGCATAGCAGAGCAGAGCAGCAAAGCAACGGCAAAGCAACATCAGCGACAACAAAGGCGAGTAAACGTGTAAAGCAGCGACAGCAAAGGCAAAGTAAAGGCGTGTAATTCCCTACCTAGGCTCTGCCTAGAGGGTTAGCTTAGCTTAGCTTAGCTTAGCTTAGCATCGCGCAGCGCTGCATTAGCATATCATATCATAGCATAACACAGCCAGTCATATCATAGCATAACACAGCATAGCGCAGCATATCATATCAATTCATATCATAACATGTCATAGCGCATCTTAGCATATCATATCGTAGCATAACATACCATAACATAGCTTAGCACAGCGCAGCATGCCATCGCATAGCATAGCTTAGCATAGCATAGCGCAGCACAGCATAGCATAGCATAGCATAGCGCAGCATAGCATGGCATATCATAGCATAGCATAGCAACTAAGGCTGCTTTCCTAGGGGCTCCAACTTCTAGGTAGGGTCGCACTGGGGTAATTTCCTGGCCTGCTCCCGCCTCTCACCTTCCACCTCCTGTCACCTGTGTCTCGAGCAGAGGATCGACTGCAGAACTGACTTCCTCCAAGCTGTTCTGTTCACCGAGTCTACGAAAAGTGCATCACATGTTTCGTGGATCCACGCGCGTTCCACGTAATGAATTTGGGGGTACATGAATTCTGTAGTCGATCCCCTACTCGAGTACCTCTCCCAGTCCGGAGGATGGATGATGCCGCGCTCTGTTCCGTAGCATCTGATGCTCGAAGCTCAGGCGTGTGCACGGGTGCGCTACCCCTGAGTGGCCCCATCGTCGAGCGAGGCTGGCGAACATTCACCTCTCCTGTCTCATGGCGTCGCAACGATTTATCCCTCTTCCCTCCCCACCCCCAGCCGCCCTGTTTGCGCCGTCGCATCGTTCCCGCTGTGCTGGTGAGAAGATAACTCTCCCACTCGGGTACGTAACTGTCCCACTCAGGTATCTGCTAAAAAGTTACTTCGTATAATCAGCGTCGAGATCCAAATATTGATAGTTTTCTTGTTCCTTGTTTTGCCCATCGGTGCGGGCCCTCGTACCCCCAACCCCCCTCCCCCGCCCCCTTGGAGTAGGTCTTGGCTGTTTTTAGCCCCTGTTTCGAGCAGGTGGAGTCTCCCCCCTGGGACGCACTGATGCAAACAGCAGCGCGAAGCAGAGGTCCGGAGCCAGACGCCCCCCCCTCCCTGCTCCACCCCCCCTTCCGCCCAAGGTCGAAACGCCGAGCAAGAAGAAAGATCACAAATCCCCCTCCCAATGAAAGCCCCGAATCGAATCGATAAGTCGGATCGGCGATCGGAAGGAATCGAATCGGCGGAAACGGGCAGGCTGGTCTCCAATAAGAACTCGGAGCCACAGAATCGGA